TTTGAAAAGGAGATGAGCACTGTCCCCTAGAGTCGGGAATTACTAGCACTATGTGCAAGGGGAACCTTTACCTTTAAACATCCCATAAATGTCCCTTGGCAAACTCTTGTTAGTTCTCCTCTTCACTTGCTCAATTCTAGAATTTTATCAAATATTTCACATTTACTCCAGGCGTTTGAAACTAAGTCATACTTCCTGTTATTAGTCTTCTGTGTTACTTGCTGCTTTCTTCAGTACAACTTTCGCCTTAGATGAGTTACATGGGAGGCTCAATGAAACAGGAGTCACATATTGAATGGAGTATCCTTGCCAATTCAACCAAATGGGATGGCACCGAAGACAACTTAAGTCCAATGGGGAAGAAAAAGTTGTGGGCTTCTTTGACCAATTGTCTACAATGAAGCCATAAATTATATGCCACTCTGCAATATATAGATATAGACTGATTGAAAATACAAACAGTGTATAATAAAAACATACGCATTAATTAAATAATATAAATGTGAAAAGAGCAGCAATTCAAATCAGCACAAATCATTCTTCTCAGAAAAGTACAAGCTTGAGAACATAAAAAATTTAACAGAACAAAATTTCAAAAAGGATACCAGATAAATGTCTCTGGGCAGGATACTTTTAAAAAAATAGAACATAATGAAGGCTCCTCAATTTTATTCCCACTTACCGAACTCACCTCTATTGAGGAATATTGTGGACTATTTTATAAGGTACAATCTAATATCTGGAAATCTATTTTTATGAAAGGCAACCAGACTCATCCTGGCCTACAAGACTCAGAAGGAAGTAAAATGTATCAGAAGAAAACAATTTATCAATTGGTACTGTGGGAAGTTATCATCCAGCCCTCTCCCAGAAAAATGAAATATCCTAGGAAANCTTCCTCATCTCTCTCTCTCTTTCTCTTCCTCATCTCTCTCTTCCTCATCTCTCTGTATCTCTCTCTTCCTCATCTTTCCCTCTCTTTCTCTCTCTCTTCCTTATCTCTCTCTCTCTTCCTCCTCTCTCTCGCTCTTTCTCTTCCTCATCTCTCTCTTCCTCATCTCTCTTTCTTTCTCTCTCTTCCTCATCTCTCTCTCTCTCTTCATCTCTCTCTCTTCCACATCTCTCTGTATCTCTCTCTTCCTCATCTTTCCCTCTCTTTCCTCTCTCTTCCTCATCTCTCTCTCTCTTTCTCTCTCTCTTCCTCCTCTCTCTCTCTCTTTCTCTCTCTCTCTCTCTCTTTCTCTTTCTCTTCCTCATCTCTCTCATCTCTCTCCTCTTTCTGTGCATGTCTCTCTCTCTTCCTCACCTCTCTCTTTCTCTGTCTTCCTCATCTCTCTCTCTCTTATATCTCTCTTTCTCTCTCTTCCTCATCTCTCTCATCTCTCTCTCTGTCTCTCTGTTTCTCTCTCTCATCTCTTGCTCTTTCTCTGTCTGTCTCTCTCCTCTCTCTGTCTCTCGCCCCTCTCTCTCTGTGTTTCTGTCTCTCTCATCTCTTTTATCTTTCTCTTTCTCTGTCTGTTTCTCTCTCTCCCCCTCTCCCTCATCTCTCTCTCTCTCATCTCTTTCTCTCTCTCTCTCTCTCTCCCCCCCCCCTCTCTCAGCACACCTCCCTCCACAGGCTTGTATTTGAGGGTTAATAGGAGGAGGAAGACCTATTTCATATGTTCCCCTCCCTCCTTGGCTGGTTTGCAAAAACAAAAGGCAGGATACAAAGCATTCAATCAATTAAAAACAAAACGAATAAATAAACAGACTGAAAGAGAGAACCACGGAGCATGTGCAGAGGGCTTGGGGGAGTTGCACCCTCCATTCTCCCCCCCCCTTCCGTTCAAAATGTGTAGCCCACACCTTGTTTGCGAGAACTTTTCCTCTTCAAACTCTTTTGCTCACATAACCTCTGTTATTTTTCTCTTGCTTACAACCAGCTTGCCCGGGGGGGGGGGGGGAGAAAATATATATATATATAAATATTTTGGATCCCAGAAAAACATATTTTTTTTTGTTTTGGGTTTGGACTCATTATGGCGGAGCAGAGAAAGAGGTTATTAAACAAATCCCGGATCCGGTTTCAGGCCCCGGCCCAACCCATGCGCCACCCCCACCTCCCCAAACAGGTGTCCCCAGATGTGGGAGCCCTCCAGAGGCCCCCACATCTGGAGACCACGTCCCTCCCCAACCCCACAAAGCGCCACTTGCATAGGAAGAGGCCAGCGGATAAAAATAAATAAAATAAACTCGTGATTTTTTGTTGCGGGGGGAGAGAGGCCTGTTCCGCTGCTGGGACTAAACTGAGATGAGTTTGGCATCCGTCCAAGCTGCACATATCATTATTATTATTTTTAAATTTTAAAGAAGCCTCGCCACCAGCCGAGCGCAAAACAAACAGCGACTTGGCCTTTTTTTTTAAACAAAAAAAATTCTTTTTTCTTTTTTTCCTTTGCAAGGCCCAAACAGCTGGGGAACTGGGACATCTGTTTTGCTATGTTGCCATAGCAACCCCCAGCTCCGGCCTAGAGCCTTCAACCCCCTCTTGTAAATTGGAAATGGATTTTCCCATGGATAGGAGAGGATGGAATAGGATGGAGAATAGAATGGAGAATAGAGAATAGAGAATAGAATAGAGAATGGAATAGAATAGAATAGAATAGAGAATAGAGAATAGGATGGAATAGAATAGAGAATAGAATAGAATGGAGAATAGAGAATAGGATGGAATAGAATAGAGAATAGAATAGAATGGAGAATAGAGAATAGGATGGAATAGGATGGAATAGAATAGAGAATGGAAT